GGGACACCGGGCCCCCCCCCCCCCCTACGGACCCGGTGAACCGTAGGATGTAATATCATTCGCCGATATAAGATTAGCGCGAGTTGACCCGTACCTTCTTAGGTTGTTGGTAGTTCTACGTCCGACAGTGTAATCTACTCGTGGAGAACTACACTTTTTCAAAACTAATAAAAATAAATTTGATATGCTTGAAACCTATGTGCATCCTAAAAATATAAATTTTAAATACATTTAAAAAAATTGTTTTTCAAACAAAAATATATATTTTTTGCTACAAACAAAATTGATACAACCTATTTTTATATGCTTGAAACCTATGTGCATGTATGCTTGAAACCTATTTTGGTTGTCCACCTGTTGATTACCTGTTTGGGTCAAGGAGTACCCTCCTAAGTTAAGTTCAGTAAGGCGCTCTTCTAGTCGAGTGGCGGACTTAATACATCCGGGTGACCGAATAGCCTTCGACGACCCTCTAACACTTGTGGTCTTTTCTCCAGGATTTTCCCGAGGTTTGAGGATTTTATTTGAATTGTTACTCGTCAATTTTCTCGAGCTTTTCGTTATGGTTTATTTGTTGATTTTTTCCGAATTTTTCATCGTGGGTCATTTACCGTTCTTTCTCGAGTTTTCTGGGTGACGTTTATTTTCTTCTTTTGTTTTCGTTTATATGATGCCTAGGTACACAGGTTTGCTTTGTGTTTATAGCATGTTACTTTCTTGCAGTCACTTTCCTGCTGTACCTATTACCTTTTCTTTACACCACATGTTGTACTGTTCTTTTTTACTGCATAATCTATTGTTGTCCTATGCTACACATTCTATTGTTGTTTCATACACTGTACAACTTCAACATGTCTCTCATAAAATATTTGAAGGACTACAATCATAAGGCCGTTTGATTTGACACCATAACCTGACACCCTAAAAAACTTAAACTCGTCACGACAAGGAGCTTGTAGCTAGCATTGTGGGCAGCACGACCATCTTCAACAGCAGAACATGTCTACACCAGTTAAACTATAATTAAACCATTCCTTCCTTAGAAGTTAAAACAATAATCCACAAGATTTCAAGGTTGTTTGCTTATGTAATATAAATCCTCAACTTATCTTTAGGCATTTGTACGGCTCTACTGTACATTCTAATCCCTAACTCGTCTTAGGATTCTCATGTCTTTCAGGCTATTTGTGTGATCGTTTCACACGAATGTAAGCCCTAAGTAAATAAAATTGGCAGGATAAAACACTTGAATATTTCTTCCTCAAAACTGAAGCCAGACCATAGGGTAGACTAGGAAGTCACCGAGGTTCTCCTTCGGATCTGTGGCATCCCCTAGTTCTTCTTCTTTTGGATTCTATAATAAATGTTCCAAGTTTGAATCATTCCTTTTTGCACATCTCTTTGTCCGATTTCGTTGAAAAATCATATCCTTTTGATCTCTTTGAAGATAGTATTTCCTGATTTTTATCGAGAGTTTTCTTAAGTGACTTCAATCATTTAAGATGTAATTAACTATAGGGGTTTGACCTTATAGGAAGCTTTTCCGAACCCAGCTTAATATAAACCCTATTTACTTATTCATATTAAATAGGGGAACTTGTCGGCAAATAAAACGTTTTCGTAGACCAAACGGACGTCATATATTTCTTAGTTTATTTGATCGAGTTTCATCCTCAAGTCTTGTGCTTATCATTCGGGATAGATATAAGATTTGAGGTATAATACTCTTTCATTTAAAAATTTGATTTCATATTTTTCTAAACTTAAATGTATATTAAATGCCTTTCTCAAGTGGGTGATGGGATTTTGATTCCGGCTGACAAAATTTCGATTCCGGTGACCGACGGCTTCTTATGGGCAACTCCCCCAACCAAAATAGTGCCGACAGTATGTTAGTATTAATTTATAATGTTTTGATTTCATTGTGTGGCTTATTGATTATTTATTTTCATTATTTTGAAATTAGCTTTTGTTTGGTTCATATTTGGTTTGAAATATGATGAGTCGGAGATAATATTGAGGCCCCAATGGGAGCGATGCATGCATCCTTTCCTGCTGTTTTCATATTCTGCATGAAGATGAAGAACAATGATAGGCTGGATGGATCGTGACCATCTTGTTTTTCTTACTATTTTTAAAATTTTCTTTATCTAATCTGATTTTGTTTTTACCTTATAAAAACCAGAAAATTTAAACTGAAATTTCATTTCGGTGCCATTGCGTGTTATAATTCCAAAACTTCTATGTAATGTATCTAGGATGTGTTTGTGATACAGTTCCTTGAAATCTTCTCCGGTTTCATCTAAACTGACTATGAAGCATAAGATTTAGGAAGTTTATGAGGGTTTGCTATTTTTAGTTTGATCTGATTCCCAAAACAACATTTTAAATAGACTTTTTTTTCTAATGTCAGGCCTTTCTCATGTTTTGTATGCTGGTGACCATATATTATGCTAAGGAGGTTCCGCTAGAAGTTAGTCCCTTCCAAAGGTTGCCAGACTCATCCCCACTTCTGAGTGATAATCAACAAAATGGCTTTGATGAAGTTCCACCTGGAGCTAGACCTGTACGGCTGCTATCCGATTCTGCCCCTTTACTCCGGGAAACTGAGCAAAATGGCCTTGTTTTACCAAATAAAACATTTGAAATGGGAGATGTTGGTCAAAATTATGAAAACAATGCGGGAGTTTATAAAGCTGACCATGGCGATATTTCATTATTCAATTCTAATGTTGAAAAGGATGAGATCGAAGCTTTTAAAAATGGCCCATCAGCAGTCCTAGTTAACATTTTGACAAGTTTGAGGCATTTACCACCAGGAATGCATTCAGTGCTCATTGTGATGGCACTTTCCTGGGTACGTCTCTCCGCATTGCCTATAACACTGGGAACTTGCATCAGTTTCTTGTCTACTAAATAGGCTTAAAAAGTTCCATGTTCCATTTTTCCCCTTGATATTTTACTTTCATATTTCTTTCTCAATTTAGATATTGTTGCTTAGAGCAAATTATGTTCTTATTTAATGATTTATTACTAAGTTATAACTGCCGCCATATTTTATATAAACAGTTGTCATGGTTCCCATTTTTCCTTTTTGATACTGACTGGATGGGACGCGAAGTCTACCATGGGAATCCAAAGGGGAATGCAAATGAAACGGAAGCTTATCAAAATGGTGTTAGAGAAGGTGCTTTCGGTTTACTATTGAATTCTGTAAGAATCCATGTGCTATCACTTGCACAATCTTTTAGTGCCTATATATGTATGTACATCCATACATACATACATACATATGCATACATGCATACATGCATACATGCATACATGCATACATGCATACATACATACATGCATATATATATAGACTTAAAGTGATACATACATGCATATTTTATGTATGTATATATATATATATATATATGCATCTACATGTATTTATATATGTTTGTGTGTGTACATATATGTGCTTGAACAAATAGATACATTACCTGAATGAAGCTATAAACAATTTAAATCTCTAATCAGGTTGTCCTAGGGGTGGCATCCCTCCTAATTGAGCCAATGTGTCGGAGAATGGGTGCAAAATTTCTTTGGGCTTTGAGCAATGCCATTGTTTTTGTGTGCATGTCTGCAACAACAGTTGTAAGTTTTTTATCTTTCAGTGAGCATTCCAAAAGAATTCAACATATAATTGGAGCGAACAAGGGCATTAAGGTTGCCGCATTAGTCATATTTTCACTTCTCGGATTTCCTTTAGCTGTAAGCATCAATTCTTGCTACTATGGCGTGTCTGCCTTTTCTTTCCATTGGAGAACTCATTTTCTTGTTTTTGCACGTTGCAGATAACTTATAGCGTACCATTTTCTGTTACTGCTGAGTTGACCGCAGATACAGGAGGCGGACAAGGTTTGTAATGCCCCAACCCTTTCCAATATAGACTTCTTTTCAGTTTGGATCTGAACTGTGGTAAATCAACTATAAATGTTCAGGATTGGCTACTGGTGTTTTAAACCTTGCAATTGTTGTTCCTCAGGTATGCTAATTTTCTCCATTAAAGTTGATTTTTAGAGCTGCTACTGACGTTGCATAAGTTTAGAACTTATAATTCAACTTTGCAACATGTTCTTAACCTCTGTCTCAATGAACATGTGCTTTTAACCTGTTCTCTATCTCAAGCGTTGTGCTATCGTAAATGGGTGGTTGACACGATGCATAACCGTACAAGGAAGTCCTTGTCTGCTTTGTAAAACTGGTTGAGGAATTCGTCACATTCTATCTAATTTTGGGCTACCTTTTATATTTGATGTTTCCTACTGGAAAGTATATTATTCTTGCTTCAATTTCACTTATAAAAATCCATTGTTTAGCAGGCTTTATTGTCATTACCAGCCTTCTTCTTTTCCTCCCTGACAGCAATTTGCATGTCTTGTTTGTTATTCTTGGAGAGTGAAAAAAATAAGTGATTACAAATTTGATTAGGATTGTTTTTTATCTAGTTGACATTGAAAGAGAAGAGGAAGAAGGGCTATAGACTGAGTTTGAAACCACTTTAAAAGATAGATTGTAGTTGACGTTTTCTTCTTTATTCTTATGTTTGTACTACAAGAACACAAATAAATGGGTCATATTGCTTGGAATTCTTTTTTTATTTTCATTTTCTTTTGTCTTGAGTTGAGACCTGTGGTACTTTTCACAAGTTCATTCATTTAAATTCCATTATCCTGAGAGCAGTAAAATCTCACAGGGCAATGAAATAATCTAAAGGCTATCTTATAGAGTTCTTAATGCAGGCTTCCTACATGAGTATTATAGTAGCATGAGCTCTGTGTGACTTATGGGTTTCTGTTTTATTGAAGCCGACTTGCGATTTTATTTTGGTTTTGACTCATCCTTTCCGTTATTGTATTTATTATGATGACTTGAGATTTTTGGGCATTATACCTTTCATAATTTGTTGTCTTCTAGCGTCACTTGCATGCGTGCTGCTACCATGGCCTTGTGTTTTAGGATATTCTACAATTATTGTCGTTTTGCAATGTTTATCGTTTTGATTTTATGGATGAACCATATTTGAAAATTAATCTACAAGGAATTTACATCAATCCTAGAAATTTTGGTATTTTTCAAGCGGATTAGGTACCCAAATGAAATCAAAACCCTAACTTGCTGAGATTAGGCAGAATTCTGACCAACCTTTGTAAAGGAGATTGAGAAAGAAATTGGTTTAAAATTTGGAAAGAAAAAGAAAAAAACCAATTCAAACTATTTCTTAACAACAAATAAACACTTTGCCAAAAGAAATCACATAAAATCAAACATAGAAAGTAATATAAATCACTAAGCTCACCTAAGTCAAGTGAAGGGTAATTATTACCAAATCATTTTCTTTGAAGAAGCTACCAAACCCCTCCATCATTTGAGTCTTACTCTAAAATTTTTCAAAATTTTTTTTACAACGTAGCTTATATTTCATTCCACATGGCATTTTTAAATAAAATTTATATAACATAGAAACCTACACAGCTCCTCATTACCTTATTACTTTGGTAACTAACCACATCTCCCACTCACTCACTCTT